GAGATTCTCAGCTTCAACTTATTCATTGCATAAGCTTTGGTTTCCTCTTTTTGAGTTGGTCCTTGGTGGTCCACTGACTTCTGGGTGTTTGTCTCGCAGCAAGGCTGCTAAGCAACCCCAAACAGTAACATTTCCACCACCATGACTCACAGTTGGCATGAGGGTGTTTTCCTGAAAACACACATTCAGCATGCCCATCACTGTGATGGCCAAACAACTCTTGAGTTTCTTCGTCCAGAGCACATCTTTGCCTACATGTACACTATTTTTGTGCTCTAAAAGCTCACCTCACATTCATGTTACATTTCTGCTGTCCTTTTGTAATTATATATACACTTTGACACAAGCAGTTAGAAGAGTGCTGATAGGTGTGCTCAACAGATCAGTCCTGAATAAGCTGGCAGTTGTGGAGGTTTGGCAAAAAGACCAACCAAGGGTCAGTGTCACTACTGTACTGTAAATCTGTGATGGATTAGTTTTACTTTAAAATAATCACACACACAAACACACATTCTAAAAATGACTATAGCTTATTTTAAAAAGAAAGAAAGAAATGATAGTATAAATAAAAATGAGCACTTAAGTGTCCCTCTTATCAGCTCCATCGAATGGAAAGTTTTTTTTGTTTGTTTGTTTGTTTCAATAGTTTTTTGGGGCGTTCCAGGCTTTGTTGAGACAGGCCAGTGGAGAGAGCGCTGGGGCAATCCCAGCCTCTGCATTAGTCTTATTGAAAATGGGTTTTCTCCTCAACACAGCGAGCTAAGCCAGTGCAGCAAAAACTAGGCCCTATTGGAGCACTATCCACTTGCAGCACTGCATAATGTGAGAGCTGTGTCCTGCTCCAGACTTTAGGGTAACCGCTGCAGTAATTAGTGAATATAAGTGGACATATTTTAGCTGAACAACCAAAATAAATGGCTTGGTTTTCTTTTTTACTTTTTTCTACTATTTATCTTGTTTTTGAGCACTACGGTCTAAAAGGGCAATCGTTGTTTGTTTTCAGTTTGTTCTCTGTTGTGCAAATAAACCTGTATCGTTTCTTCTTTTTCGATCTCAGCTCCGTCAGAGGATGACGACATCATGATAGTCGACTCTGATGAGGAGGATGGGGCAGCTTCCAGCTCAGCAGCAGCAGCAGCGACGGGTGGCACAAAGAGGAAGCACTCAGACGCCGAAACTGGCGAGACCTCCACCAAGCGCCCACGGACAGACCAATCGGCAGGCGACAACAATGACGACGATGACATAATCGCTCTGGACTAACTCCCCTCCCTTTCTCCTGAGGGACTGCAAACTCTTTGACTGCTCGTAATTTTGACTTGAGACAGACAGTAGGTTTAAATAAAACACCTCCTTCATGAAGAACCGTTTACAACCCGGGCTTCTCTTTCAACAGTTTCCCCCCCAAATGTGTTTGTGCTTTCGTACTCCCTCCACTCTCTGACATGATGCTGTAAATAGATCCTACAATATATCCTACGGGGGGGGGGGGGAGAAACAGTTTTGACGAAAAAAATACATAGACTTCCTGTTATGTCACTTCTACTTCTCTTGTTGGTTAAATAAACAAAAAGTGCATTTTTTTTGTATTTTTTTATAAACGTACTGTATTTCTCATGCTACACAAGTCAGGGTGTTTTTGTGCTTTGATGTCAAGTTTCAAAGGAATAAGATTTAAAAAACCAAAACATTTTCTTGGGTTGTAATATTGAGCTCAGTTTTTGTGAAGATGGGGACAGAGGGGTTAGGGGGGCAGGTTGTGCTGAATCAGTCTGGGTGGGTGTGGACAGGGGCTGGCCTGTAGGTGCTGTTGACGTCTGTCAGCAGGTCAGTAAAGCACAGAGGCACTGATGGCAAGTTTGTGCCAAGGGGTGTTTGTTAGCTACCTCTTTTCTAGAACTGACATGTTTAGGCTCCAAGAAGGTAAACATGCCCTCCATCACTTCATCGCAGTGAGGGGTCCAGCTCTTAGAGAACAAATTACTCGAACAGCCACGGAGACGAGACAACACGCCTCCCTGGGGAAATGGCAATGACTGAACTGTACACTTTTTAAAGGCAGTAGTAATTCAATGTTAAACATGTTACAGTTTTATTTTTCTTGGCTCTGTTTGAGCAGCGAAGTCTAGAAACGGTTAAAAAAACAGAGCAGCAGTTTGTCCTGTTTGATGCTGCAGAGGTTAAACTAGGTTGTCTGGCAGCAGTGTCCTGCACTTAAATAACGTGAGAGCCACGGGCACTTCGTGACCTGCTGTCTTCTCCCGTCTAACCCTTGTGTTGATGTCCATAATTTCATGTTTTATTGTGATCTGACTTATTGAAAAGCTATGAGAGCCCTTTGGACCAATTTGATGAAGATAATAAACTCAAAAATTGCAGATGCTTCCTGTTTTGTCAGGTCTTTGTGTCCATGTGAATCTGTTGCCTTCTGGTAATGGAAACCCTGATTGGGGAAAGTATATCTGAAATAGACCAGGAGGTTTTCTGTGGTTGAACACTTCATATGTGTAGGGTTTAGAACGATCATTAAACCAACACAACAGCACAGAAGATGTCGGGAGGGATTTCAGGAAATGAGAGGCCAGTTTTTTGAGACTCTGGCATCGACCAGGAGTGGACTCCCTGAACTGGACAAGTGTATGAAAACAGATGGGAGTTTGTATGACAAGCGGGATTTAGACAACTTTTTAAAGCAGCTGACTCTCTATGTGTCAATAAACACATCCATGAAAGTATCTGACAAGTTTGATACGAAATTACCAAACTAAACAAATGCTAAAACTGAGGAAATTTCTTCTTTATTAAGGATAGTTTGTATTTTTCTTTAGTTTACTGAGTTCATAACATAATTTATTTATGGGTTTTGAGGGTTTTGTTTTTTTTTCTTCAAAAGTCCAGGTTTTACTTTGCATTTTTCGCATCTAGTTGTACTTCTTTACATCTAGTTTTTAGTTTTAGGGCAATAAAATTCAGTTCAGTTTGATTTGTATAACACCTTGAGGCAGCTTGTGATTTGGTGCTATATAAATAAAATTGAATTGAACTGAATCTTAGTTAACTATGATAACCATGTTGCCTGAGTTGGTTGTATTAGCGACATAACCTCTCAATGGCTTCATACAGACCCAAGTGAAGGAAACACTTGCAGGGATGTCCGGCACATATTCTGACATCATCAACTGAAACTTTGGCTGTGATAATATGAGATCCATAATTCTAATATGGATCTCATATTCTATTCTAATGGTGGTCAGAGGGCCTGGTGGCGCCAGGGTCCGGCAGCCTCGCCTCTGTCAATGCGCCCCAGGGTGGCTGTGACTACAATGTAGCTTGCCATCACCAGTGTGTGAATGTGTGTGTGAAGTAAAGCGCTATACAGATACAGGCCATTTATAGAAAAAAATGTAAACTGCCATTTGGAATAAAAGAAATTAAATAAACAGATTGTAGCTTTTTACCCTTCCCTCATTCCAGGATATGTGCTAAATACTCACAGTGTCTTTAAAGAATGAGATATACATGAGCCAAATTCCTGTGATGCAAAACAGAGACTAGACTTTACTATAAACAGGTTTAAGAAAATGTAGCGTGATTAGGTTAAATGTCACTGTTTCCAGTAGAAAATTAAGATAAGAATATGAAAATGTAGGATAAAAAAGAAATACTAAATAATAATATGTGTTGCTTATATAGTATGATTTGTTGATAGGGATAAATTATTTTAAACTAGACTTTAAAGAGAACTATGGCTAACAAATAGAGAGATTGGACATTTATGTGTGTACAGGAAGCCTAAAGGTTCACTGCTCCATGATTCAAGAGACAGAAAATAAAGTCAATAAAATGTACAAGTATTCTATATGAGCTGAAAGCTCAGACCTTACACTGCTCTAAATGCTCAGTTTCAAACATCTTTTTCCACTCTTGGCTCTGTATGATGTCAGTGAGAGGACATCTCTAATCCCCAATCACAGAGTTGTTGCAAGGAAAGCTCAAAACAACACCATTCAGGCACACTGATGTTCGTGCTGTGTGGTTTGGTGCATTTTAAGTGGGGTTTGTGTGCAGGAACCATGAATACAGTCGCAATCGCTGAGGTGGTGGCACGGAAGGTCCTTGTAAGCCTCATGGATGTGTAAACATAGCAGCTTCCCCTGTTAGTATTAACATTCACATGCGGAAACCTGTCTGCCCGCACTTGATCTTTGACCTTTTAGAAGTAAAACTTCATCACTTAATTTTATTCAATTAATCATGCATTAAATGTTTTTTTTGGGTTTTTTGTTTTTTTTAAATAACTGGTGCATTAATCCTTAAGTAATGACCTAAATCATACTTGGTCAGGGACCTTTGACTTGACTCCCACCTCATGAATGTTTGTGCCAGGTTTGAACATATTCCCCCAAAGGTTATTATCTTAAAATGTTGAAATAATTACTCACAATTTAGGATAAAAACTCAAAATCTTAGATTTTAAATCCAAATGTTAAAATAATAACTCAAAATTTTTTTTCTTATGGATGGAAAAAAGAAACATTTATTTATTTACAATTGGTGTCAGAAACAAGCCACCATACAAAACAGTAAAAAACAAACAAACCCCAGCGCAACTTAAAAATTCAAAGAGCTTCTTTGTTGATTGTTCTTGTTAATATAGACTTGATGTGTAGTTTTACATTTAAATTAATATATAAATACTATAATATAAAACTTCATCAAACAACTACCCGATGAAGGTTTTTCGTACTGAAACGATAATAGCAGTAAGAAAGAAAGTGAATTATATTGAATTGTTTTGTGGATATAAAACTCGGAGGCTGAAAAAAATTACACTTTTCCAGAATCTTAAGAAACCAAAACAATACATTTCCAAAGGGAAGCTCAAAGATATAAGTAATTTTATCCCAGAAAAATTTCCTCACGTAATGTTATTTACTCAAAGGGGGCTGTACTTCCTCTCGACGTCATCGTGCACGTTAACGCCCATCGAAGGACGTCGCTGATTGGTCCGCTCTACACCCCCTCCCCAGCCGACCTCTCTAGCGCAAACGACAACCCTGTTATCGGTTATCGAAGGTGTGCGCCGAGAACAAGTGTGTTTAACCGTGTTGTTCTGGTGCTATTGCGTCACTGTAAAGCCTAGTAGAGTGTTGTTTGCTTTCTGCGGTCACAATTTGAATGTGTGTTGTTTCCCCCGACTTCAGAAAAACGGTAGGAGGGCACGGGAGGAGGAGGGAAACCAGCCGATATATTGTTTTCGGCAGGCTAGCTAACTTTAGGAGAGTGTAAAAGCTAACGACTCGACTCGTTTGCAGGGAAGCAGGTAACTCGGTTAAAATGATGACTTTCTCGGCTCTGGTTAGACCTCTGGCTTCACAGATTCACCGACAGCTCGCCAGACAAGCCAGGAGTCACCGGATAACGCCTGTCAGAGGATGTAACCTGACTGCGTGCTCAAGCAAATATGTGCTGTCTCAGAGTGAGTACTTTTATTTATAAGGCATGTGTGGTAACGTTAGCTGGGCATCCTGTTAGTTATCCTTGTCACACAGATGATCTCTGCAGCCCTCACTGTGTGTCTGTGTGTGTGTGTGTGTGTCAGCTCGGCAGTGGTCGGCTTGTTTCATTCATTGCGGCTGACACACAGCATTGTTTGTTGGTCACTTTTGTTTTCATGCCACAGCAGCGCGGGGAGCTGTGCAAACCTGGAGCTGGACTTTGATCATCCCTGGATTTCGATCAGTCGCCTCTCTGGTGACTCGGCAGTGTTCAGACTCCAGGTTTTCCAGACACCTATTGATAACCGCTGATCGGTGTGCCCCACACCGGGGCCCCTTGACGCCCTTTGGCCTATATACCTTCTACTTGTATGCACTTTATGTCATACTAAAGAAATTTCGCCTTAATCGCCGTTTCCACTGTGCATATCCTTATTGAGAGCACAATTTTTTTTAAAAAATGTCACGTGTTACATTACAGTATGTACTTGTGCTCCTGGCAGATGTGTGACATGAAACATTCGCATGTTTCACAACGAATGAGTCACCACCTTTTATTTTCATGAGACCACAGACTTTCTGAACCACTCAAGCTTGTTTGAGCAGTTTTAATAATTTCACTAACACGCCCTGGTAATGTCAGTATTGCCTTGTTTGCTGTCTCCAGCCAAGTACAAGAGTCAACATTGAAAAATGCAGTATATTGGCGAAAGTAATTGCTCGATTGCCTTAACATGCATATAAACTTGAATGACATCTCATTATTAATTCATAAGGTTTAATATGATGTCAGCCCACCTTTGGAAGCTATAGCAGCTTAAACTCTTCTGGGTAGGCTTTCTACAATATTTAGAATTATTTATTGGAATTTCTGATGTTGGCTTCTCCACTCTATTTTCTGTTTTGTATATATTTCTCCTGTTTGTTATTTATTTCTGCTGTCTTACTTTTTATAGTTAGTAGGTGACCTGTGCTATAGTCACAAATAAAAGGTTTTCTGGGCATTTACTAGGACAGGCTATGAATCAGTATGGACATGAACATGCTTTATTTTTAAATTTGTCAAAATACTTAAAAGTATTAAATCTATCAAATTCACTTGACTGTACTTCTCATAGCTGTATGCCACCTTTTCTTATTTGACTGTGCAAAATTAAATTTGACATCTCAAAACTTTCTTTAAAAACATCGATCAAAATCTGACAGGAATATGAATAATTTCGGATTAATAGACATACCTACTTTAAAGCTGGGCCATCCTGAGGCCCTCCAAGGTATGGAGGCCTATCTCCCCTCACCACACTCCCTGCCAGTGGCTGATGCCCTCAGATGTCGGTGCATTGGTGGTTCTTGGTATCCAGGGCTGGGCGCTCGGGTTACCCTGTACCGGCTCACTCCCAGTGGCTGCTTGTCAAGTCAAAACAACTTGCCAAGGGGCAATTAAGATAGATGACAGGGGTTGGTGCCCGTGGCTTGGTTGGGCCAGTTCAGGGGGGTGGGGGGCCCTCAGGCCTCTGGCCCCTGGACCTGGGTTTCTGTCCACTCTGGCGCAGTTGGCTGCTGTTATTTACTGTTAGCTAGATTATTGCGATGGTGTTGTGTTTATTATGTTGCTCTCCTTTTTGCTTGTTTTCTCTTCTGTTTTTTCTTCTCTCAACAGGTTTTTTTAAGTGCCCTTTCTCACTGTCCCTCTTCCCCTCTGTCTTTTTTCCCTCCTTCCTTCCTTCCTTCCTTCCTTCCTTCCTTCCTTCCTTCCTTCCTTCCTTCCTTCCTTCCTTCATTCTCCCAGTCATGTCTGTCCCATCTGTAACAACTGAAAATAAAATAAATACATAATAATAATAATAATAA